GGAATTATTCCGATACTCTAATTTTCTTTTCAACTAATACTGTAGTCGCACTCAGCCCTGCAGTCGAGTGGAGATCACTCGGTAAACGGGTAAACATATCGATTTTTTCCTTAACCCACCTCTTCATATTTTCAGGTTATATAGCGCGTCGTATAGCGTGATAGGAAACACTTGCATTAAATGTCACAAAAAATGACATTAAGGTTACTTCACATGATGAACGTGCGTTTTAGTCTATTGAACATGGCGCAACGCATTTTAGGTGTATCTTTACCAAATTTTTAGTGAAGAAAGCCAATAAAATGCTGATTTCGAAAATCTTCATTTGATGGGTGTTCTGTTTAAACATGTCCAGTATTGGCTGACTAAAGAAATACATAAGTATCCCATAAAAAAATCAAAAATATTTATAGTTTACCTCAACGTTTGTGTACATATATCGATTTGAATCTTCATAGGTACAGTAAAAAAAGCGTGTGCGGAAAATTTCTCTTCTTCAACGGTTTTTCTGATATGACGTTTTCTTTGACAACTTCGTGAATTATCAGGGACAAATCCAAGAATCAGAGCATATCAGAAAAACCACTAAAGAAGAGAAATTTTCCGCACACGTTTTTTTTACCATGCCTATGAAGATTTGAATTGCGATATCTAGACAACCGTTGAGGTAAACTATAAACATATTTTGATTTTTCTATGAAGGTACCTACATGTTTACTCAGTCAGCCAATACTGAAAATGTTTAAACCGAACACCCATCAAATGAAAATTTTCGAAATTAGCATTTTCCTGGCTTTCTTCACTGAAAATGTGGTAAAGTTACACCTAAAATTCGTTGAGCAATGTCCAATAGACTAAAACGCACGTTCATGAACTTCATCCTGTGAAGTAACCTTAATTAGATTAATTATATCTTTCTAACCAAGCTATTTTTATACAAGTTGTCATCAATATTAGCTTGCAAAGTTCAAATTGCGCCAATACGGATAGGATGTTTATTTGTGTGCGACTGTAAATTCGATAGATTCATGAAGATGCGTCATTTCCCACGTCACTTTGCATTTCCCAACTCGAATAATTTTTGGGGGGAAAATAGCCTTATATATATAGTTGTGTGACTTGTGTATATTAAATATAGCCTAGTAAAGACGTTTTAAATAGCGATGTTGTGATTGCGCGAAAACGTAAAGGGAATCGATTAGGCTTGTAAAAAAGATGTACTATATCCGTATATTTAAAGTAACTATAAATATATGTATATGACAAGTAAATTAAGGATATCGGCTTACTTTTAAAACGAAGTCGGTATTTCTTGCTTATAATAATTGAAGCCTATATAATTGGCACATGTGAGCGTCTTTTGGTTGCATGGTGCATGTATGTATGTTATAGTATAACACATTGCTATAAATCACCATTTTGACCGTATCTTTGCCTAATATTCAGGAGCGAATTATGATTTTTTGCGGAAAATATTATGGTGGCAATAATTCAACAACCAGCATACAATCTGTAGTTTAGACCTGCCGTGTTTCACAGGCTATAGTATAGCGGAGGAAATTACTGATGCGTACATTAAGCATGCAATGGACGCCCGATTTTAATTCGACAGAAATGTGTCCACAATATCAAACAAGTCACATACTAAGCCATAGGCTATAATTGAGACAATAGCACTCGGCGACAGGTTCGATCGACACAGATAATGTATCGTTCTAGCTGTTGTGTCTTTAATAGTTAGCGTTGTATATATATGCTCAAACTGTGGTCGCTAAATCCCCACAATATATTATCAGCTAGCGAGTTCATGTTCTTTTTTTTCCAAATTTGGATTGTGCTATTTTCTAGTGTTCTTGTCTGGCTATTTTCACGCCTATAATCTTATTATAGCCTACTATACACTAATTAATTTAATTTCCTTTTTGAAATTATGAATCAAGAAAAAATTGTCAAGAAATCCTATATACGCAAAATGTCTTACATATAGACTATAGAGACTATATGCATGTGTATACTATACTTTTAGTTTTAGGCCTGATAACTTCTATATATTGCGCATAGTCGCTTTTAGAGTAGAGAGGTGACTTAAGTCCCAGGTCGGCTGTGTTACTCATAGCTATAAAAATATCGCCGCATGTCTCCGGTATAAACTGATTGTCTCTAGACTTTAATAGTGCAAAACCGCTTTAGCGTCTTTGATTTGTTGGAATGGAAATCGACAAAACTTGAAACGTTAATAAACACCAAAGTGATCTATTTTGTTTCTGCTCAGTTATGCATGCATCTGGATAAATGCGTGGTTGTTAATTCTGGTTCAGTGTACTGACGTTTTTGTATAGTGTTCACTGTTTTATACCAATCTGTTAGTGAGATCCGTTGAAACGGTGGGCGAATACCGTTCAAACGGTTTCTTAATTTCGTTCGAACGGTTTGTTAAAACCGTTCGTAAAGGCGTTAAATTTGTTGTCTTCATCCGTTCGTATTTTTCACTCAAAACGTCTGAAACGTTTTGAAGATCCATTAAAACGATTTGACAGAACGTTTACTATCCGTTCGTTATCCGTTTTTTTGCCCGTTTTAATGCAAGATCGTTAACGTACGTTTTCCCATGGAAGGTCACATATATGGTCAGCTAATCGATTTGACTTAGTTTTTGATAGGTACTTTAAGTATAGTTTAAAGTCCGGTACACGGTCGATCCGTGGTTCTGATGTTAGGAGGCTCGTGAAAGCGAACGGGAATATGCCAAACAATTGGTCCACGTCTCTCAGATGCGACGAACACAAAACGGAACTATTTCCCTTCATCATTAAAGTACTGGTTGAAAGCATTGATACACGTACACGTCACGTGGACTATTCGTGAGGTCTCTAGACAAAAGGGTAGTGGCGAATCAGGATGTATATATCTTGAATTAGTGACGCCATGCAACATCGAAGAAGTCGATGAACGTATGTTTGTCCATGTCCAACATGCTGCTGAACTCTGTCCGCGCGTTTTGGTCAAGACTGTAGTAAGCGATGTTGTTGTTGTTGTTGCACTCGGAGCTTTCCACAGGATCCACGACCTCCAAGAACTATGGCTCAAGTTTGTAATGGGGAAGCATTTGAAGTAGGTATACATTCCAATCCACGAAATTGCCACATCAATAAGAACTCAAATCTCCACCGCTTTCCCGTTTTTCCACGCATTCAGTGGCTGTGATGCCACATCATGGTTCAAAGGTGAAGGCAAGAAATCGTTCAGCAAAACATGGAAACAAGGCAATACCTTTCACAAGCAAGGGAAAGACAATTGACAATAACCCCTAACAGCTGCTGCATTGAACGAACACGTAAAACGATCGGTGTTACAAGTATACGAAAGCGGCAACAACTGTCTTGAAGCCACAGGAGTAGAACTGGAACTCGCCCATTGTTGATTGATGAAGGATGGCGATGATTTTTTCCAGTCTGGAGCCGCATGCTGACTTACCCAACTGACCGATGCACTGATTCGTTGTGGGTGCACCGAATTTGTGGTTGGTAGATGCAAATGCAAATAGAGTGGGTTGAAGTGCACGGGGCTGTGTGGATGTCAAGCGAAGTTAGATAGTGCCAAAACACCCATGTTTGGTTAAAAATTAACTTATGCGGACATCGCTGACAGACATAAAGAATTTCAATTTTGCGTCGTTCACATTTGATCTTTAAATAAGAAAATTTGTAACTCTTACCTTTGAGACATTGCAATTCCTTTATAATTGTGGACGATGTCCGCATACGTTTGTGAACTTTGCTCCGATATATTTTTCACCAAAAAGACCACACAAGCCGAAGGAGTGTTTTTGATTATCTGTCCTAAATGAAATGCATACAAACTCTTATTCAGGTCCTCGACTAATTACAGTATTACGCTTAGATCTCCTACTGGGATTAGAATCACTTGCATATCTCTGACTCGTTGATAGTGATTGAGATTTACTTGGCAAGGTAGTACTTGATTCAGGTGACGCTTTAGTTAGCTTTGCACTTCCACTGGTAGTTGCATGCGACTTTAGTTTCAGGGACATTGCTTTCTGGGTGCGGGTTTTCTCTCTTCTTTTCATGCGTGGCCTATTTTGGCCAATATCATGTGGCGATTTCTCGATAATAATTGATTTTTTGACATCACCATCGTATCCGACGTGTAGGACGGAGAACTATTTAGGATTGTGATCGATTTATTAATTCGGCTCGAATTACCGTGAATGATTTTGTTCAGTTTCTTTAAGGCAGACATTTGCTCTACTTGATTGCTAGAAGAATTGTCGGCTGATACATTCGTTTCGTAATCAGCACGAACCAAGAAGTATTTTCACATTTTTACCCATGGAGTTGGACCATCAACTCTCTCTATTATGTTTAATATCTCTAAAGATTCAAGCCCTTTCTCCACGTCTTTCCGTATGTAAAAAGGTATTCTGCGATGAGGCTGTCGTTTCTTTTTACCTAGAGGATCTATAGATAATTTAATCAACCGTCATTTTACTTTCTCAATTCCACCAAATATACACTTATACTCTTCTGGTGGGCAACCATGCTAAAGGGCATTGACATATGGACGGATACGTGAAGGAAATTCAGTTGTTGGGCTGTGGCAAAGCTGTGTAGATTTATAGAATTTCCTTAGGTTTGGCAACGTGTAGCTTGGCAGTCGTGGACCAATGTGGTTTTCTGATCGTATAGCTGCAAACGTTCGGAGTACAGGAAGGGGTACTGATGAACCACAGGAGTAGATATGGCAATCCGCTTTCGCTAATTGTTGTTTTCCGAACTCATCTATCTTTCTGTATACGTAGCTTCGTTAATGATGTTGAAAGACGCTCCAATATATAGTCTAGGTGTTGCCCCATTTTCGAGTTAAATTTTCTCATTACTAAAAACTAAGGTTAAAGTTATCCTGTGACATGCATGCAGGCTTGATGGAGCATATACATTGTAGTGACAAGATTGCTACCAGTAAATACTGTTCCTTGTTTAATGGCGAAAGGTAATCGCCAGGCCTATAGTTGTAACCTGGAAGCAAAGAAACATTTGAACTCCTGGAGAATGATGCTATACCCTTGCTTCAGTATATGTATAATTAATAAGAGACTTATAAATTTTTTCTTGGAGATTTGAAGTACTATTCAAAGCACGCGTAGAAGTTGCTTTAAATGCTAAATGACCTAAAAAAATGACACGTCTTATTTTAAAAATAAACGTGGTTTGAGCCGAGAAAATCATAGCTAAAGTTTATGTAAATTGACATGATTTTTTATCAAATATAAAACCACCAACACGCCAGTGATTTCATTGGTCTTTTCCTTATGAATTATGAAATGAGTTTTTAAAGCATTTTTAATTTTTAAACCTCATAAAGAGTTCTCCTTCTAGGAATAGCTAATGCAAGACCAATCATAAAGAAAATACCAAACAAAGCAATCTATGATATTGGAGAGGAAGTCAAACTAACATGCAGTGCAGAAAAAACTCTCAATGGGTATGAAATCAAATGGTACAAAAACAGTTCAAATAGAGAGCCAATTGAAATGGAGAAAGCTAAGACCGTATGGATAGGCGATATTCAACATGAAACGTTGTTGTTGAAGTCGTTATCAGCGCAGGATGTGGGGATCTACAAGTGTAAAATATCCTTTCTTGAGTATAACGCCTTTGATTTGGCAAATATAACCCTGAAAGGTAATGATCATTATATTTGTTATTAACAATTCTTTTAATATCAATTTTTAATTTTCCTTGGTCCGTTATTTACGCGAATTTTATGCTGACGTGAATGCGACTAATTTGGGTCGTCCCAGAGCCAGAAAAGCCAGTACGCGGATTTGCGGAAGTGAACCGATAATGTCGCTTCCGAAGTGATATATGAACCATTTTTTGCCACAGGGTTTATTTTAACGTGCAGTTCTACACAAAATGTGCAGTACTGACTTCTGAACCCATTTGTGCCGTTCTTAAATAATAATGTGGATTTTTCTGTGTTGATGTTATGTACTCATGTGAATATGGTGCTTGCGATGTTATTCTGAGTGTATATCCACACCGGACAAGCTTGAAAAATATGCCTGTCCACGGTCGGAATCGAACCTACGACCTTTGGAATACTGGCCCAATGCTCTCCCAACTGACATACGAGGTCAGGTCGGTTCGAGTATGTGATATTTCGCAGCTGCTCCTGTGGATATACACTCAGAGTAACATCACAAACATCATATTCACCTGAGTACACAACATCAACACAGAAAAAATCATATTACTAAATTGCATTGATATCGAAGGAAATAGACTCAGTTCCGAAATATCACATACTCGAACTGACCAAACCGCGTAGCTCAGTTGGCAGAGCATTGGGCTAGTATTCCAAGGTCGCGTAGGTTCGATTTCGACCGTGGCCAGGCATATTTTTGAAGCTTATCCGATGTGGATATACACTCAGAGTAGCATCACAAACAACAATAATGTGGAGTCACCAAATTAACAAAAAATATAACTAGTCATCTCATTTACTTGTTTTCCTGGTTGATGATCCAGAAAATGGCAGAAATGCTGTCATTGTCCATTGAGCATCAAATATAAAATTTTTCTGAGGGAGGACCCCCATACCCTCCTATTTTCCTCAAAAATCACTTACGCGCAGGGGTAATGGAGTAGAAAATAAAATTGGGGCGAGCGAAGCTCCCCAAAAGAGATTAGAGTGGGAGAACCGAATATACTTTGCTGCCTGAGATACAAATTTACGGTTATTATATATTGAATATTCATAGTTCCCAGCTACATCGGAAACCGTGTTTGTGGGTGTTTGGGTAACACAGATCTTTGCCAGAACTTTTAAGAGCCTCCAGATTCAATTTTTTGTGAACACCATGCAACTACCTTCCCCACCAAAAATCGAATTTGTCTGGCCTTTCTCCCACCAAACCGCCATAATTACAACTTTTAACGTTAAATATCAAATCCAGGTAAAATATGCTTTGACCCCCCCCCCAGTCAGACACCTGATGCTTCGTAACATCCCTATATGTGCAGTTCTAAAATGTTCTTCAAAATGAACCCTGTTTTGCCACGGTCAATCACGTTTTTAGCTCTAGCAAGTGTTCGCCGAACATGGACTAAACTGCCATGTGTAATAAAAAAGAAAAATGATTTGCCAACAGTGTCACAACCCATACCAAATTTTCAGAATCCGATGAAAATCATCATTATACTTCCTCTAATTTCAACATGTGTAGAAAGAACCTTCATTGCCTAAAGTAAATAGCGAGGAAAAAAGTAAAGTTTTTGTTAGTCTTCTGGATTTAATCAGGGGGTATGACCCTCCCCTTTGTGAGGAATTTTAGGGTGCGCAAAAACCTTTACCGGGGCGCCGAAGCTGCATGGAATTAAACCAGAATTGTCAATATTATTAAAATAATTGAGGAAATTTGTAACGATTGGAGCCAAATTTTGAGTTGCAATTGGCCTTCCCTGACAAACAGGCAGCAACGATGCGACCGTACTATAAATTATAACTTCTTTTGAAATTTATTATGCCTAACGCACAAACGTTCGGGCAGTGCCATGTAGCCATTAACATCGGTGCTTTTCAATTCAAAATGTAAACCCCAACTACTTGAATCATTTCTGTTGGTAGAAAGACGACCTTTTTTAAAAAATCGACTTTTAATAATTTTGGGAATCCCGAATGGCCTAATTTTGTCATTATTGCCTGATAATTCCAGAGTATTTCATACCGCTCTCCATGGTTTTGCGCTAAGCATACAATGGCCATTACGAGAGTAGCCAGCGTGGCCGGCTCTTTTATAGGGCAGATAATTGAAAGAGAGCCTGCCCGGAAGCCCTAGTAAAATTGATGCTCTCGGCAGCCAGCTGCCGAGAATTGTGATTGGCTGAATTTACGTTGACGACAGGTTGATTGACATGTTACGCTAATTTATTCAACAATTTAAAAATAAATACAGTAAAAACAAACGGCACCGCTATATTATGTAAAGTGTAAACCTGTCGGCTAAAATATAAATTCAAAAGAGAAAGTGTAAAATGTATAACATATACCGGTATCTAAACAGAATAAGGCAAGCCATACTGCTATTACTGCATATGTCGTATGATTTTACCGTATGGTCACTATAGTATAGCGAGTATAAAACCTTGGCTGTCCTTGCCTTGTCTATATTTTGCTGGCTGGCAAATTACGATTATATAAAATAATAATTCCCCATTGTGTTTAATACAGCATAATAATCCGAAGCTCTCTTTGGAGCATTTAAAATACATTTGCCTGCCAACGTGTATAACACGAGAAGGGTTCTATTTACTTTTCGTAAGTCATTTATTATATTTAATACTGCAATATTTATAACTGTATTTATACAGCCATACAGGTGCAAAGCATAACATAATTTTGAACGGTCTTCGTCTACTATTAATTTCCAGACAAAGTCGAAGGGCCTTCGCTCGAAATGCCGACGTTTTGCTTGTATTTCCAGGCAGTTGAATCGCTATCCATCTATTGTAAAAAGTTTTATATTGAAAGCATGTAGCGCAGGCTATAGTAAATATGCAACAATTGACATTTCAAGTCATCAATTTATACAAAACTATTTCGAGTGGGCGGTGTTAATATGGAATATTAACTAAGTGGGCGGCATCAATTTGACTAGGGCTTTCGGGCAGGCTCTACTTATAAAAGAGCCGGCCACGCTGGCTATTACGAGAGTATTTAGTATCGATTGATTAGTGTGACAAAAAGTATATCCCTCAACTTTCAAGCATGCAAAATCTAATTCAAATATTTAATTTCATCGCAGTTCCATTGGAACCTGATATTCAAATACTGAATGAACAAAATAATTTCCATCCGAATGAAGGAAAGGGTTTTTCACTATCGTACCACGTGCTATCTTACCCAGACTCTGATATTACATGGTGGAGATCTAAAGATGGAAAAGAATATGAGTTGATAACTCAGTGTTTGGCGACAAATAAGTGCGTCAAAAAAGATCACGGAGGCAAGGAAAATATTACGAAGACAAGTTTCGAAATAGAAGATCTTAGATTTCCCAAAGATAATTTCTTCTACAAATGTAATGCAAGTAATGATTCTGGAAATGACTCGGAATCCTTTCAATTGGAAGTTTATGGTAATCTAAATAATATATAACTAGTTTACCCACAGGGTAGTGAATGCTGCCTTTGTATAGCATTGTTCCCAAATCTTTAAATGAGATTTTTTGTATGTTACGTAACACGCGCTCAAAACTAATGCTTATAATATACCACATGAGACTAGGACTAAAATCAAAATTTTTATTTTTCGATACGTTTCTCAATCGGTAAAAAAAAACTTAAAAAGTATGTTTAGTGCTTTATCTGTAAAATAATGCTAAAATGAAGAGATTTTAGATGATACGCCAAAGAGAAAGTGATGTCTGTCTGAAGTTCAGTAGGTTTTGCTTAAATGGCTGTAAATATAGCGTCAATTTTAAGGCATCATTGTTATATAATTGTATTTTAATTGCCAATTTTTAACTATTATTTTATGTTTCTCAACCGGCAGACGCATTTAAAAAGGTAGCTAACTCTATAAACTGTAGAGAATAAAGCTAAAACAAAGTAATTTTGAGAGGAACGCCAAAAAGATTTTAGGTTTTGAACACTTTTCATTCCAAATACGTGACATTTAAAAATTGCCTCTTAATATTTTAAAGAATAAGAGTAAGAAATATTCGTAATGAATTGGAATCATCCATAATTTATACACTTGAATGTGCCGTATGATAACTCGGCGCTCGAGGTTTTGTATCGAAAAAGGAACAGCCGAACAGGTACGATGGCTAACAAGAATGAGTGGACTTATCAACTTATCTAACGCGAGGAAAATATCAAAATGGCAGGTATGGCTGAGATATCTAGTATATAAAATTGTATAGACAATTTGCCCACAAATACGGTGCTAGGTCAAAACGGCCCAAAGTCAAAACGGCCCCGCTTCAATAATCATATGATTTAGACCAGGGGTTAAAATGCAATGACAATGACATGCAGGTGAGTGCGAGTGTGAGTCTCACTATAAAATTTGCGTGTTTAATAATGTTTATCAAAGAAGGCAAAAATATATACAAGACAACCTCACTTGTGAAATCTGACGCACTGCGTTGTGATGCAGTAGGCTACAAGTACAAATACAAATGACAAAGCATTTTTAAAGGCTTTAGTTTAAATCCTAAAACATAATTAAGGTTACAGGATACCCTAGACATGCCTTTCGGGAGATCCGCTATAACTCGATCAATTTTAATACCAATTCCATCAAATTTTCACCAAATGTATTTAGATAAATGTAGTATAAGATGTTCTTATCATATGTACGAAAGAATAAATACTTATTCAGATATTTGCCGAAGTCTAAAATCGCTGTACTTCCGCGCCGTGAAGTTTGTTAGACGCCGGTTTTACTCAAATCCTATAAAAATATCATTTTTAGTCTTCTCAAAGGTTGTTCTAAAAAACGTTGTTCGCGTTTTGTAGTTGCTTTAGGGGTTCATGAGTTACGGCATATTTATTCCAGACCTATGCTATATTGCAACTAATTGACAACAAAAAGCTTGTAACTTGCTTATTATTTGAATAAAAAGCTCGCGCGCACACCGTTTTGTAGGCGAAATATGTACCTATGCTGTGTGGAAATTTGACAAAAATCGGTTAAAACGAACGCTTAACAAACTTTATTTAGTGCGTATATTCGACTCAAAATTCAAGTGTCTCAAAAAGCGCTTTGAAAATTTCGCGGGTTTTCTTTCAGTGTAATCAGGTACTGCGCCTACTGTGACGTACTGTCATTATAAAGTTAATCCGATGACAGATAACGTTTGCGGCAAGACCACAATATATAATCAAGTCATGCCTAAACGAAAAGGAAGACAAACCAACGCGCCACAAAAAAGCGCAGAATCTCAAAAGCGACAAAAATGCAGAACGATAGAGTTCAGCTGATGGCGATGTGGACCACAAAGAAAAACTAATGGCAACGACTAATGGCAATGCGGCTTATGGATATCCTGTCGAAGTACTAAATTTCCTGAGCGATATCGCGGTGATGTAAAGAGAGAAAGAGACGCGAGTTTGATCCTTGCACTGTTCTCCTGCACTTCGGTAAATAATGTTTAATTATAGTTTTATTAATTTCTTTACAGTGAAACCTGAGATTAATATGGAGAAGACACATGGATACAAAGAAGGGCTGATGATTAATTGTTCATTAAAGAGAAGTAATCCCCCAGAAGTAAATTACACCTGGTATTTATGTGACACTACCAACTGCTTGAGGAAAAGCCAAAGTTTGGCCGAAAAATCTATCTTACGAATTTATAGTCAAACAAAGTCTGTTATGACGTATAAGTGCAAAGCCACGAATGCTGCTGGTAGTGCATCTAAAATCATTGAGGTGTTGAAGTCCGGAGAAATCAACAGTAAGTCTACCTGTACCAAATCTAAATTACAGATTGAATTATGCATGCCGTGAGAATACGCTAGATTACCAATTGTAATTATGACAATGACTATTGTATACAGCTAATTCTATTAGGGTTGTCCATTCAAAGTGAAAACACTCAAACTCTAAACGCGAAAGGCATGACAGATTTGCATACTGCAATAATTATGTAATTCATACTTGTGGCACCCCGTAGTTACGGTTGCTACTCCCAAAGCCAAAGGTGTTTTGCTTTTGCGGAAAAAGGATATTATTTATGAATTCCCGTGATTTTTCAGCTATTTTGAATATTATTCACCTAACTATTAAATAGCAATCTCAGCAGAATTCATGGTTTCTTGAAATTTTTAACGTTGAAGAATTGTATTTATAGGCTAACAATAGTTTAGTAACAATAGTTTCTTCTTGATCTGGATAAAATTTTTCAACATTTAGTAGGGCACACGCTGTAAAAATGGCGACAGAACCTCAGCATATAAATCAAACTCTCCTTCACTTGCCGCCATATTTGTTTAATTTGTTATTCGAGTGGCAGCATATTTAGCGTATTAATTTTCGTGCATAAATTATTTCCCAAAAATCTGGAAAACGGGCTGAGCGGGCGTAGCAAGCTTTCGTTCGAAGTTACGCAGTCCCTACTTCCTTTGGTAGTCTGGAACTGCACGCAGGCTACTACTGAGACCGATGGGATTAAATTCAAATACACAACTCGTGCGAAACAAAATGGCAGGTGTAAAAATATTTAAAGATAATTTTACAATATTGTTTTACGATAAAACATTTGTTGGCGCATTTTCGTTGGATTATAATTATTTTTGAACAATGTATGTATTTGTTTTGAATTTAGTTCACTTAAAGATTCGATAAAATTGATCTATTTTCACTATTTTGGTGTCATATAAAACAAATAATTAACGTTTTCATCCGTGCAATGGTAAAAATATTTTCACTCTGTGAAAGATATTATTTTCGATTCCACTCGGCTGTCTCCTAGTGGAGTTCTAAATTCTATATTTCGCCTTATGAAAATAATCGTTCCGTTGCACTTATAAACATTCATTATTTGTATATTATTTAATTATTATTATTATTATTATTATTAATAGATTTCGAACAGAAATTTCTTTTGTTAATTTGTTTTCTAGTTTAGCATTATAAATTTGCCAACTGTTCGCCATTCGCTTTTAGCCAACATGACGTAATCCTGTGATGTTGCAATCCAAGGTACTCAGCTAACCTTTTGAAATGAAGACTGGGAATTAGAGTATTTCTTGTCCGTAAACCATTGCGTCTAACTTTGGGATAACTGCTCTAGCTGATATAGACTTTAGGATTTCCACTTCCGGAAAACGACTGTAGTCATCAAGAACTACCATCAGATATTCGCCAGAAGGATAATGTACTGCGAAATTCAGGGAGACTTCTTTCTTAGGATCACTTTGCAATGGAGTCATGTTCGCAGATTCTGGTGAAGCTGAGCTTCCGGATGTTGAGGTTTGGCAAGCGGGACAATTTCTTATGTTTTCTTCTGTGAACTTGTCTATGTCAGGAAACCAGACTTTCTCTTAATAGCATCTTGGTTTCCACGGTGCTTTTATGTGCATTGTGTGCTAGGTCAACGTCTTTGTTTCTCGGCATATAGATGGTATCACAATACGATTTCCTATCAGTATGGTTCGTGTATGACCTACTGATTCCTCCTTGATCTTTGTGTAATTTTGAATTTCCCGAGTTGACTATGGTGGCCTAGGAATGCCATTAGAAATATCTGTTAACAATTGGATATTTCTGTATGAAAAAATTTTAAAAAAGAAAAAATATTAAAAAATAAAAATAAAATAAATATTAAATAAAATATTTTGAAAATATTATAAAGTTATTTTGAATTTTATCCTAAATTTTTTGTTTTTGTTTCAACGTGAAACAAAAAAAAACAGTAGATATGGCCTATAAGTGCCATAATTAAAAAAAAAAATTACCAGTGGCCTATGAGTGCCATAAACCGTGGACCATAATGCCCGTTCGCAGGCGGGCGGTGCTGTAGATTTGCCACCTTGAAATTGAAACAAACCTGGACCTGAAAACGCGCTTTTATATTTACAGTAAAATGTATCTGCAGTTCTGTGAATATAAATATTTATAAATATGTCGGCTAAAAGACACCAAAACTGGGATAATTATAAAGATAAAATCGCAAAAAAGAGGGGAAAGAAATCTCACGGCGAGAAAAATCAATCTTTTAATGTCGTAGGTGGTATAACCGTTCAGCGTTTATCTGCCAATGTCGAAGGCAAATGTCAGAAGTACACGCGAATTGGACCCTTGACATGGGTGCCAATGAAAGACAAAGAAGCCACACTAGAAACAACTAAGGATGCATGCAAAGTTCATTTTGATACTGAATCGGAATGCGATGTACTCGCTGGTGAACGTGGCTCATCGTATACAAGCACATCTCAAATAAAAAATTGGAAAGTGATACACGTGCGATTCATTGAAGGCGCTCAAAACCTTGTCCCTGCCGTCAGCCGTCAAAGTGAGCCTACCAAACATAGCCCAAAGATACGAAGTATCCACACAAATGTAACGGCGAGATCTGAAAATTTGAGCTCACGATTGCACATGTCTGTGGCGCCATCGATTTCACTTAGTAAGATGCTGAAAATTGGAAAAGTCATAAATTCAGATTCTAACCGATAATTACATTACATTTGGAGGAGTTTTCGATAGCTAACATGGAATGGTTCATGCCTGTTGAAGTTAAAATATCCCTTCGTAGAATGCCATTTGCTGAAGGATCATTTCGAGAAGCTTACGTAGCGAATGTATTGAGTGGCCTTCCTACTGGCAAATACGTCTTGAAGAATATTTGAAAGATAAAACCGACGAAATCACAGAATTATTTGAATCGCTTGAGGCACATACGAGGAAAGCTGTACAGCTCAATGCTCTGGCAAGAAACTTTGCCCAAAACATGGCCTCGGAAGTACCATGCTTGGAACTTGGCTCGACCTTTCTTGAGGGGACATTTGAGAAATTTATCAACAATGATGGGGAGATATGTTTACAAGCTGGGGAAGAAGCATCTGAAATTGTGTTAAAAGCTGAAGCATTTGTCCATTACACTTATGTGCGTTCAAAGAAGCAGTTGATCGTCACAGACATCCAGGGAGTGGATTATCAACTGTGTGATCCACAAATTGCATCCTCTGGTCTAACTGATCCCAAAGATGACTCACTATTTCTCTGTATCGGTAACTTGTCGACTGAGGCCATTGGAAACTTCTTTGCCAATCACAGCTGCAACAAGTTCTGTATTTTACTGTCTATTCACTCTGACTAGACTATGTTATTGACAAATTTTAAGAAGGTATTAATCAGGTATTGAATACTGTATATGTAATATTCTAATGTTGTGGTTTCGTTATGCACTTATCAATGTTTCATGCCCAGAGGGAGGGATTAAAGGTCTGTGTAAGAAAAGGAATTTAAATTACTGCAGTGACTTTGGGTTAAAATTCCATCTTCCACTACCCTGGCCTCCCTCTCTCCCTCCCTCCCTCCCTGGGCCTATCACGGGATTCACATTGATGTGTGCCAGACATGAGTCACTCTTACGCCCGCATTCTAAAAGCTCACTCACACTCAATGAGTGGAAGTTCAATCTGAGCTTCTCTCGAGTGTCATTGCTGTTTTTGAATAGCTAGAGGGTCAGTGTCATATCTTACTATGTGACTAATGACCCTCCAGCTACCCAAAAACAGCATTGATACTCAAGAGAAGCTCAGATTGAACCTCCACTCACCACCGAGTGTGAGTGTGCCTTTAGCAGGGGCGAAACAAGCCCTTTTTAATTAGGGGAGTGTCTGCTAGAATTGCCCTGCGAAAGCCGATGATGCCCTGAAGCAAAATTTTTTTTTGGCCATTCTTTCTCCCAAAAATGTTGGCGAGCGGGGGCGGGGGAGGGGCGAGGTCAAAAAATTTTTCCGCACATTCAAAAAAGGGGCGAAAAAATTTTTACGGACATAAACCAATTAAATTAAGGGTCAAAAATTTGTTTTCGGACAAATTCCTGTTAAAACATGCATGAAACCCTTATTTTTTTACCAATATCTGTAAAATTTAGGTCTATAAATTCTATTCAATTCCCTGGGAGCCCTGGAAGCTACTTAATATCTCTACATCCTATCATTTAAAATCTTTCATTGCCCTGCCAATCCAGATGATTTGCCCTGCCAATCCAGATGATTTGTACTTTGGGGTGTAACCCCCGATAAGTTTACTCAGATTAGAAGCTAGATCATTGATATGGGCTTTCCAACAGAGATGATTATCAACAATCACACCCAGCAATCTTTTTGATTCTACATTTTCAAGCATGTCTCGATGTTTTCCATGGCAGACGAGAGTGTGCAATTCAACTGGTTCATGGAATTTCCAGAGGAATGCAAGGTGGAATCATCAGCATAAAGATCTACGTTCTGGTTACTATGTAAAGGGAGATCGTTAACAAATAAAATAAATAGAAGCGGTCCCAGAATACTTCCTTGTGGTACGCCAAATGAAACAGGAGCTATTGATGAAATGTGATTTTTAATATATCTTCCGGACAAATAAGAATACATCCATTTAATTGTAATAATAACACTTAAGCTTGGAGATGAGAATATCGATGTTGACATGTCAAATGCTTTTCGAAAATCAATAAGTGTTACACCATTAAGTTTTCCATGTTCAATATTTGTAAGCCATGTATCTACCAACTTAACAATTGCACTTTCACAAGAATGGTAGCGTCGGAATCCCGATTGTCCTTTATACAGTAGGTCAAACAATATTAAGTGGGTGGTTATGCTGTTATGGTAGTGACGTTCCAACAGTTTGCTTACAATACAGAGAATGGAGATTGGACGGTAATTACTTTTTTCAGTACGACTTCCCGATTTATGAACTGGGGCAACTCTTGCAGTTTTCCATCGCATTGGGAAGTAACTGTAAGTAATGCTTTGATTAAGAATCAAGGTTAAAGGTTCTGCAATGACTGAAGCTGACATTTTGAGTATTTTGGAGGACAATCCATCCAAACCTGTGGCTCTATGAGGATCTAACTGATTAAGTGATTGCAAAACTTCATCACACGTTAAAGGTGGTATTGTAAGAAGAATATCATCAGTAATTTTACTGCTAACAAAGTCATTTAGTTGTTCTAGGTCAGGATCTAGGTTGCTTGTTGGTAAGTACTTATAAACGACTGTGGAAAAATAATTGTTAAAAGACTCGCATAAATCTTTTGCATCAGTAAGGGTGGTTTCACCGTCTTTTATTGCCGTTGGTGCTGATTTTGAATTATTTGGTACTAATTCATTGATATATTTCCAAAGTTTAGTGGAATCGCCTTTACAATTCCTTATGCAAGACTGGTAATAAGTCTTCTTGACTTCGCGCACTAGGGAAACACACTTATTACGCAGAATCTTGTATTCTGCAAAGTTCTTAGCAGATTTATGACGGTCATGTTGACGCATACAGTTTAATATGTCCTGCGTTATCCAGTCAGGGTGTTCCACTCTTTTTACCCGTTTTGTTTTCATGGGTAAATGTTTATCCATGATACCAACAAAAAGATTATACCAAATGTCATGATTGGATATACAGTATATGGGTGATTGGAAATATGGGTTCACAAAGTGATCGATGTCAAGGCTCAGTGCTGAATTTAATACTAAAAATGGCATTACATTACAGTGCACTTTACATGATTGTGTATGTTCTACACAACCTACATAAAACCGTGTTTTTTTAAACAATTGACAATGCTGTTGTGGAACTCCAACGGTACATTTACAGTGGTAATCTTTTCTAACGGTATTTTCCTGCGAAGAAAGAGGTCACTCTCCTGCTCATTTTCATCACATTTCACAATACTTATTGCCGCAATGGATATTTGATCTTTGACTAATTTGTACTTTTGTAGGTAACTTCGTCTTTCGTTTTGTTTAGCCAGTACCCAGAAATCATGGAGTCATCTTGGAGATCACGAAGTTCAGAGAGCTTGTATGGGTAATAAAACAACCAGTATGTGTCATTTGTATCTGTCTAAACTGGAAATATGTATCCTTCATGCTTTAAACACACCTCATAATTCGACGCCAGTGATTGAAATGCATCTTGGGAAAAATATTTCTTCCCAAAGTCTTTCAGTGTTTCAAAATCATTTTTGGTAAGGTTAAGATTTGGTACTTCCACGTCATCTTCCTGGATAATATATTTCCCAGTTACTGTATCGTCCACCTTTCACGCATCTACAATCTTTGATAGCACTCTACGAATAGTTTCGAAGCATTCTGTCTCGCTCTCCTCTTCTCTTGATGCTTCAATTAATTAGAAGACTATGTTTGCTTCATGTTCCATAATTATTTTGATTTGGTCCATGCCATAACAGTTTGGCTTCTTAAAAAGTATATTGTCAGGTAGGCCACTGACAACAAATCCACCGTTTTGATACGGTACTTTAGAGCCCGGTTTACCACATGCTTCACCTGTAAAAAAACGAAAATTGTTCTTAAGCAAATAAACAAGGTAGAGTGATATCCATAAATAGATATACACTTTAGCCGTTGACTACAGAAACAACTATTTTCCTAAACTAAACCTCAGTTTATCAAAGTTTCTGTGATCACAGTAGGAATTTTTCATAGGTTCATCCTAAGTTGTAATTAAAATGAAATGTAACAAATATCAGGATAAAACATGTTAAGCACTGTTTTAGTTCCCTCAAATATTTCCAGGAAAAGATTCAAAACTTAGGATTTATAACCATCTTAGCCATAAAGCATTTCACTGCCAATCATACTATTATCTTCTTACGCTGGAAGCATGATAGGTTACAAAATGTGTACAAACCCACAATATGTACCATTTACATGCGTGCAGAACAACTGTGTGCGCATTTGCCTAAATACATCGTTGCTGGACCAATGTGACATTGTTTGCCGTAACATTTGTCCAACATGTGTGTGCAACAGATGCACGACTATTGTACCATGTTGCGGTTTTGTGTAAAAGACGTACATATAAATACTTACTGCATTTCTTGTTAAACATATTTTGGACATCCTTACGGGTATAATTTCTGCTGGAACTATCTTCATTATCTAAAGGTAAATAAGTTGTTAATAAAAAAGAAAAACTTTGCAAGTTTCAAGTATATTTAACACTTAACAATGCATATACATATATTGTAAGCAATTCTGGAGTCTGCCTACATACTGTAAACAGGTGAATAAAGCCAAAGCAAAACATAATGAACTGTACGTAAGTAAGTATACCACTGAGTGCATGGGGGATTTTTCAGCAACACCACAAACATCATATTCATCTGAGTACATAACAACAACACACACAAAAATTTGCCCTTGTGACGTCATAAGCAAGGGATAATTGAACTGATACCTAGAAATTAAATACGAAATACATTACCGTCGAAATACGCCAAAAATTTTAATGGTATTTTCTCATTTTCTGCCAGAAACATAATGCCATTCTCTGACCCGTATTGCCTTACAGTACCAGTGTCAGGATCCATCATTAAAACGACAGTCTCGCAACCAAGATCTTCAAGATATGATAGCTGAAAAAATACACACATGTCATTATACATTCAAACTGTATTCTAATTTTTGATTGACCGAAAAACCGCAAGTTCGATGTAAAAAACACAATACCCTCCTCGCTTTGACATCATATACTGGAAGTAACGTGAAAAGCTAGTGAAAGAATGAGTGAAACAGCATAGCTTCTTGTAATTTGCCATAATAAACTTCAGAAATTACCAAATTCAACAAGTATTTATTATTTTATTAAATGTTAATTTGTATGTTTTCATTTTTCTCTCCTTTGCAAATTTCGGCTTTAATATACACCTGTACAGTACATGTCTGTTTTTTGTCTTTTTAATTATTATTATTATTATTAAAACTTTATTTAAAGAAGGTTAATTTACAAGGAAATATGCCAGTTTAGCTTTTGCTAATCTTCCACTGGACCTTCTCAAGTTAACTATATAATCGAATATATTTACATGCAGTACAATTTACATTTCTACAGACTACAGTATACATAATTACATAAAGTACATATCGATATAGTTATAAAAAAATTGGAAATAACATGCACTGCATCTTATGAGTTATTTTTGTACATATCCAAAAACAATTCATGGGCTTTACGCTTGAATGCTTTAAATGAGCTGGAAGATCTAATATCTGGTGGCAACGTATTATAAAAAGATGCTCCAGTGTACCGAAGTCCACTCCTGGTGATTGATAGTCTATAGTTTGGTATCCATAAGTCCATATTGGCAGTGCTTCTTGTATGTCGCTGGGAAATTGTTGACAATGGTTTAAACATATTACTTAAATAGTCTGGAGTCAAGTTATTTAAAGATTTATAAACTAGGCAAACTACCCTATACATAACTCTGTACTTTATTGGTAAAATGTTTGACTGTTCGAAAAGTGGTTTAGATGGAGAAAGTTTTGATTTATCATAAATTAGTTTTAGGATAAGTTTTTGTAGTTTGTATATTCTTGAAGTGTGTGGTGATTGTCCCCAAACGGTGCAGCAATAATCAATCCTTGGTTGAAAGAACGTTTTATAAAATAGAATCCTTGTTTGAAGTGGCAGATAGATTTTGATTCGGCGGAACAGAGCGATAAGTTTACTCAGATTAGAAGCTAGATCATTGATACGGGCTTTCCAACAGAGATGATTATCAACAATCACACCCAGCAATCTTTTTGATTCTACATTTTCAAGCACAGTATTGTTGTAATTGATATGGAGTTCAGAAGAGCCAATTTTCAGACGAGAGTGTGCAATTCAACTGGTTCATGGAATTTCCTGAGGAGTGCAAGGTGGAATCATCAGCATAAAGATCTAGGTTCTGGTTACTATGTAAAGGGAGATCGTTAACAAATAAAATAAATAGAAGCGGTCCCAGAATACTTCCTTGTGGTACGCCAAATGAAACAGGAGCTATTGATGAAATGTGATTTTTAATTCGAACACACTGATATCTTCCGGACAGATAAGAATACATCCATTTAATTGTAATAATAACACTTAAGCTTGGAGATGAGAATATCGATGTTTACCATGTCAAATGCTTTTCGAAAATCAATAAGTGTTACACCATTAAGTTTTCCATGTTCAATATTTGTAAGCCATGTATCTACCAACTTAACAATTGCACTTTCACAAGAATGGTAGCGTCGGAATCCCGATTGTCCTTTATACAGTAGGTCAAACAATATTAAGTGGGTGGTTATGCTGTTATGGTAGTGACGTTCCAACAGTTTGTTTACAATACAGAGAATGGAGATTGGACGGTAATTACTTTTTTCAGTACAACTTCCCGATTTATGAACTGGGGCAACTCTTGCAGTTTTCCATCGCATTGGGAAGTAACCGTAAGTAATGCTTTGATTAAGAATCAAGGTTAAAGGTTCTGCAATGACTGAAGCTGACATTTTGAGTATTTTGGAGGACAATCCATCCAAACTTGTGGCTTTATGAGGATCTAATTGATTAAGTGATTGCAAAACTTCATCACACGTTAAAGGTGGTATTGTAAGAAGAATATCATCAGTAATTTTACTGCTAACAAAGTCATTTAGTTGTTCTAGGTCAGGATCTAGGTTGCTTGTTGGTAAGTACTTATAAACGACTGTGGAAAAATAATTGTTAAAAGACTCGCATAAATCTTTTGCATCAGTAAGGGTGGTTTCACCGTCTTTTATTGCCGTTGGTGCTGATTTTGAATTATTTGGTACTAATTCATTGATATATTTCCAAAGTTTAGTGGAATCGCCTTTACAATTCCTTATGCAAGACTGGTAATAAGTCTTCTTGGCTTCGCGCACTAGGGAAACACACTTATTATGCAGAATCTTGTATTCTGCAAAGTTCTTAGCAGATTTATGACGGTCACGTTGACGCATACAGTTTAATATGTCCTGCGTTATCCAGTCAAGTTGTTCCACTCTTTTTACCCGTTTTGTTTTCATGGGTAAATGTTTATCGATGATACCAACAAAAAGATTATGGTCAAAATATTTGAATGATCGGTATTTGATGCTGGTATGACAATGTTTACTACCGAAACCATCCTTAAACACCACACATGTTGGGTAATGGTCACTAAGGCCTATTTTAGGAACTTTAACTGCTCTTACTTTGGCGCTCAACGATGTGAAAGCGTGATCAACTAAAGTGGCTGAATTTAATGTTACTCTTGTGGGTTCATTAATTAGTTGGTGTGGTTGGAAGTTTTCATTAAGATGAAGCCATGACTTAGAAAATGTATTGTTTACCAAGAGATCAATGTTAAAATCACCCATTATTGAAAGTTGACAGCCTTCAAGATATGCATTGGTTATTTGATTTTCAAATTTGTTCATCCACATTGTAACATCATATTGAGGACAGCGATAAGCAAAACATACCAAGTGTGCTGGACGTTTTGGTGGACAAAGTTTAATCCAAAGTGATTCAGTGTCGTTTGCTTCAAGGTCCTGTCTTCGTAGATATGGAATGCTTTTGGCAATATAAACTGCAATACCCCCTCTGCCATGTTTCAGGAAAGGTAAATTAATGTATAATAAAACAATTATTGGATTCGCTTTACGCATGATAGACCTCAGTCAAAGTTATCAGCTCCGCTTTGGCAGATAACTTTGACCTTGGACTTCATGGAATTTGACTGATTGATCGATTGTATACATTTCCAATAATTATAAGGCCTCACAAGGATCAGTTTTAATTTACCTTCTTACTTGTTTAACTAAATTTTTCGTTTCCTTTTTTATTATTTTCATTTTTTCTTCGTTTGGCATTGTTCTAGGTCTGCTTTTCCAACCTTTCCAGCTTCATCCTGCCATTTTTTTCCGATCCTCGTCGCTCAGCTCTCTCCATTTTGAGGCAATCGTCATTTTTTGTCACTTTGAGGGCACTTCTTTTAAAGCTTCTGAGGAATAGAAATTTACACTAGCATTCAGTTAAGTTTAAGAAAGCAAACTGCGTTACATATTTACTGTATAAAGTGTTGTACGGAATTTCATGACCATAAGGATTCTATCAGAACTAATGTGCTGCATTACAAAATTTAAGGCAGATTTTAATATTGTCCTTGTTCTTCTCGTTCCTACACCACGTTCCTATATATACAGTATGTACTGTACATGCTGTAGAGTATCGACTACAGTTTTCTTAGGATTACATGTATTTATTAAACAATTAGTACGTTTTATACTTTTACATATTCAATATTTCACAAAATCACTCTCAATGAAATGAAATGGCGGAGCTGTGAAAGGACCAGCCACCCGAAAGGCCGCTAATTCCTTAGTCAGTTTCAGGTCAACAATGCTTGGGTGTTCTAGGGCCGACGATAAGTTTTTAGACTCTAGAAACCGAGCTTCACAGTCAAAATGTAAAGAAAAACCAAACGAAAACCCAGAAATTAATTGATTAAAAATAGTTTGTTCATAGCCGGACAAAAGATTAATGAGAGGCGAACGTTTTACCGGAGTTGGTAGGAAATGATTTGGCGGGGCGATCGGAATTGGCGATTGATTTACCACTGAGGCCATGAAAATTATTGCCACACTGAGTGCTGCGATGATTGCCTTGACGTTTAAAACATGCGTGTTTAAACTCGCAGCCTGAACAAGCTAGACCGCGATGAAATTTAAAACAATAACCCCATGGTACAGCATTAGGTGGTCGGACTCACGGCTTTAAACTACCATTATCGTGGCCTATTTGGGGTCCAGGGGCTCACTTGCTGGTGGAAATAGTGGAATACTGTGAACGCAACCACAGTTCGCTGTGGATCGAGCCCCATGGCACAAGGCTACATTGAGTTTGATGGAGAAATCGAAAATTTTCGTCGTAGAAACGCCAATTCCGACCGCGTAATGCCAAATCACGTATTGTCTGCCCGTATTTCATGAGGGCGGGGGCCTCATGCGGGAATTTTTGGGTATATATAACTACAAAAATGCGAAAGGCCTGAAGCCAGACCTCAATACTTAGAATTTTCTTTGGCTTGGAAGCTGGTTCGAGACAAAAAGAAGCTGGGAGACCTGCTTCGGAACTCATGAATCAAATCTGAAATTTTTCGCTATTAGAATTGCTCAACAAGCAGCCAAAATCGATGAACTCTCCATTCCAAATTTTTCCCTTAAGTTTTGCTGATACCCTGGTATCGATAGGTAAACTGGCCGAGTGAAAGAGTTGGGTAGGTTCCACAGAATTGCTCCCGCTGTTACTATTTAATGTAGGCAATAACTGAGGCTCACCTGAAATGCTGGCATCAGCCGCAGCTATTGCCCCAGTTACCAGAGTGTTAGCCTCGGATTGTTGACTTTGTGGCGGTGGAACATTATGGCGTGAACTTGGCTCTTGCATGTAATTGGGAACTGCTTGATGATCAGTTGATGCCACTGGCACTGGAGTGGGAAGCATCGTTGAAAATTGCGTCGAAAGCTGCTTCGCTACTTCGGCAGTCACTGTGGACACCAGCGTCTGGAGAAGCTCGGGCGGCAAAACAGTCTCCGTAGAAACAGCATTGCTAACAGGAAGAACAGAAGCCGTCGGTGCTGTATTAACTGAAGGTGGTTGATTGGCACTGCGCGTCGCCATTGTAGCGTTTATGGTCGAACTACGGCGACTACGCTGCGATGACGGGCCATCAGCTGACACGGTAGCAGGTCTTTTGCATTGCTTTTTCCCTTTTGGTGGCATTCTGCAACGGGAAAAAAACTTGCGAAAAACAGTTTTGAATGTAATGAGAATAATTGATCAATGATAAATGACCACTGCGATTAATATACATCATCGTTGAGCCGCATGAAAAACGATGATAATCGAATAAATTTTTCGCAGGGCAAGTATGGCTGACATTTTTAGAGTCGCCGCAAGTTACGAGCCCTGGATGGCCAAAATTACTTATAACCAGACATCTCCAACAACATGGAGAACAGTTCAAATATTAAAATCTCCAAAAACATGGAGAACAGTAGAACAATCTCCAACAACATGGAGAACAGTTCAAATATTAAAATCTCCAAAAACATGGAGAACAGTAGAGCAATCCCCAACAACATGGAGAACAGTTCAAACATTAAAATCTCCAAAAACATGGAGAACAGTAGAACAATCTCCAACAAAATGGAGAACAGTTCAAACATTAAAATCTCCAAAAACATGGAGAACAGTAGAACAATCTCCAACAACATGGAGAACAGTTCAAATATTAAAATCCCCCAAAAAACATGGAGAACAGTAGAACAATCCCCAACAACTTGGAGAACAGTGCAAATATTAAAATCCCCAACAACATGGAGAACATATAGTTCAAATATTAAAATCCCCATAAACATGGAGAACAAATATAACAATCTCCAACGAACGTTGAGACCAGTAAAAGAGAACAGAATAAAGCAAAAATTCTTACCTGTTCAAATTAAAATGATACTAAAGAAAAACTCCTTGATTAATAAATTTTGATATCTTCACAAAGTGGTGTTCATTTGGCTGTAGACTGAATGTGACTGATGTGAACCGCATGAAAGTATGTACTATAAATGACCCCTTTTTCAGCCATCTGCTTGACCATTCCGCACCCTAGGGACATTCTCGCCATTTCCTTCGTATGACAATTCTTATCTTACCACCACCTGCTCATCAATTATAATAACCAACCTATCTACCCCAATGTCTCAGCCGGAAAGGCATAAAATTCCTATTAGCAAGCAAATATTATATTTATGCATTGTTATTCAATTATTTTGTACACGTTCCAAATACTTTATATCTACACATTACCTTAAGAATACCGTATGAATTATGTACATTACCGTATGAATTATGTACACTATATCTATACATATAAGCTCGTTGCATAGGATAGTTTTGTAATAGATTCATAATTTTAATTTTACAGCTGAAGTTATACCAGAAACAGACTACAAATATATCTAAGGGACCGGTCATAAAGTAACTGCTAGGGTGGGCTGGAGTGATTTGGGCTGGGTCATGGAAAATCTTTTGGCAGTTTCGATGGGCCGCCAAACAAAAAAAACCCATGCATGTCTACTTCAAAAAATAAAGATATTAATAATCAAAGTAAACAAAACTATCCAAATTATCAAATGCAAATGATGCTATTGAACCCAGTACTTTGTTTATACAACAACAAGAAGTGGTCGAATCACAGCAAATACAACCAACTGGAGAGCAGCTCATGCAGTATCAATGTGCCGGTTGGTCAAGCTTGGTGGAATTGTGTATGTCAATACAGTGCTGTGTATATTTTACAATGTTCATACCTGCAAGTTTATTATTATTATAAAAGTGTATTTTCCCAATTTAGATTGGGTGGGTCATGAAATTTTTTTTGTAAGATTAGATGGGCTTTGAAATTTTTATCTACATCCTAAGATGGGTCACCGAACTTATTGGCAAAATTTGTGATTTACGTCCAGCCCACCCTAGCAGTTACTTTATGACCAGTCCCTAAGTCTAAAACTAGAATCCATTCTGATTCAGAAACCACATAACTCCGCCAGCAAATTAAGTCAAGCAAATTAATTAAGTAAAGCAAATTAGCACGACATAAATTATGAATGCATAAATTCCGCATTTGTGAGTCTGACAGCAGATTGTGACACAGCAATCACGTTCCTGCTGATTAATGACAGAGTCCTCCCCCAAAATAATGGTAAGATAGTTGGTGAAATGCTCAAAATCAAGCTCTCAGTTGAGTGGAAATACCATGGAATGGTTATGCGGTGATTGTGATCTCTGACTTATTGGATACGAGTGCCGTGACTTTTAGAATACAGTTCAGACATAACAACATGTGTATCCCTAATTCTCCCCACAATTTTCGTATTTATATGTTTGATATTTTTAATATACTGAGGTGAAAAAATTAACTAATTGCGGAGGTAATAAATATTTATCACGCTTGCACAATCGAATTTCTTTTCAAAATTTAGATTACCAGATGTCCACATTTTATACCTGAACTCAACAGCTTTGTTTTAATTTTTTTTTGTGTTTAATTCATTTACAATATAAATACCTACGCCTCCTCCACTTTTAATTGACCTGTTTACAACTGTGGCAATTGATACACCAGGCGGAAATCTTAGTTTAAAGATAAAGAGCAGAGCCCAGCAAATAACTTTAAATCCAAACATAATAAAAGTAAAAATGTATTAGCAAACATTTCGTTGTTTACAATACAACATCTTTTAGTGCAGTGAACATGTTGTTGTATCCTGATGCAACATGTTGTATAGGGGGATTTCTTGTCTGGCATGGCATGTCCTGCTCTGACTCGTCAAAATTTCTTTTTCTTCTCTTCCTTCTTTCATTTCCAATCCATTTCTATATAATATATAGAAACAAATTTCATTAATAATGGGGTTATAAATACTAATAGCGACAAAGCTTAAAAACAAAATAACCGTGAGTACATAGTTTGTGACAAATAACTGTATTGTATGGTACAACAGAATTATTCATTCTCATTGTGATTCAATACCAGGCAGTGCTTCCATAACCAAAATCGAGATTTCCTTTTTCGATGATGAAAATTTCCTGATATTTCCTGATTTTTTTCCCGGATTTCCTGATATTTCCTTAAATTTCTAGCATAACTTAGTAAACTTAAAACTTTGGCGCAATACGCTTTGTTTTCGCATTTTATTCTCCATTAAGTTTTTTATTAATTTTGTGACAGGAAATATCAATGGACTCAATGGCTAATGAAAATATCAAAGACTGTTTCGACTTTTTATCAAACCAACACTTGCTATGTGACTATAAAAAAGTATAGTATAACAAAATAGCAAATAACAAGTAACACTTTATGAAATAGGTCCCAATGTCTTATCATGGCTGGTTAAGTGTTCTAATAAATTCTTTTCTCAGTTCAGCTACCTCATCATTATCAACATCTGTCTTCGTTGCTTTATGGAGATTTAGCATCAAACTCTTCGTCGGAATTGCTATTATTCATTATTCAAAGTTTTTCCAGTTTTTTAAATTTACATTTTAGATTTAGATTTTACAGTAACAGTATAGGCAGCCCAATCTGATGGTTGGTTGCCTGCATGCGGGCGAGTTTGTATAGTTGTATTATTGGTGAGCGCTAGATAGTATACTTCAAAATGAGGTTTCCGTTTTTATAACGTAGAAAAAACTATCCTAACACAAAACTAAACCCTAACCTAAAAATCTTTGACTTAAGTAACTACATAATTTTGATTATTTTTTAAACATAATCATCTTAGCCCAACATAATTAACTGCCACACTTGTTTTAAATTAGTTTAATTAATGCAATCGCCACACATTGTGGGTGCAATCATAATTGTCTGGTGATTGCATTAAACTGGCCTATAGGTTCCTATAGGAATTGTTCCAATTCCCTATAGAAGCTTTTAGGCACCTATAGAGCTCTATAGTCTTATAGGCATCCCTATAGGTCACCTATAGAAAATGTTCCAATTGCCTATAAAAACCTATAGGTTTCCTATAGAAACTTATAGGTTGGCCTATAGGCCAGGCCTATAGACTTTTTTTGTTAGGGATATATGAACCAGTGTGGCAGTTAGTTATGTTGGATTACATGTCTGGTTGCAATATTGTCACAAATAATCATCTTGTAAATGATGGGTAATTAGGATAGGTAAATTACTTTAGACTTTAGTAAAGACGCATCTGAGAACCCATCCCTGTTTGTGAAATAATGATAGCTCAAGGAGATTCAACCCAGACTTACACTGTAATCTCAAAAGTGAAAGATGGCTTATTTGATGACTACACCAACAGACCCGCATATTATTAGCTTAGAAAAAATGAAAACACATGTCTTTCAGTTCTGGATTACCGGTACATAAACAATGTCTACAACTGTTCTTCGTAAACACTAAACACTATATCCTATGGTTCAGAACAGGTTCGGAGCTACGGTGAGTCTGTGTAAATTCTCTTCAGACTTCGGTAGACAAAGATATTTTTGGCTACTAAGCAATATTACTAACAGAAAGAAACAAAAATTCTTGTACTGGGTCAAAATTTATCGAGCAATTAGCCAAGACCATTGTTGGAAATCTGCAAAATCTCACTCCCAAATTGCATGATCACACCTTGTCATGATCACTTCTCTCCACCAAACAACTATACTACTGTATTCCATTGTATGTTGGTTGGTAAACTAAATGTGAGCAAAGCAGTGATTGATGGTCACCTACGTTTGATTAACCCAATACGCTACTGGAAAGTAGTCGGTACTTGGTATAAGTTTGTTTTTCAGTCGGTAAAGGCGCCTTACCAACCCCCCCCCCCCCTGCAAAATTGTCTGAGGATGGCCCTGGTATCAGTGCTTCCATTTCTAAGGAAATTTCCTGATTCTCAGGAAATCCTGAGCTAAAAAGGAAATTCTCAGGATAAGAAAAAATCTAAGGAAATCTCAGGAAATTGACGAAATTGACAGGAATTTAATGCGAAATCTTGAAACGAGAATTAATTTTCTTCATTTTCGTGTAATAACCACTGATCTGTAGTAAATCAGTAGTAATAACTAACAAATCAGTTTGTTTCTGCAGTGTTACACGACGTACTTGCACTTGTCTCTGCTGCCGCTGACCAGTTCCCCAAAGTGCAGGATCCTTCTTTTGTAATTGTAAATCATTGAAACTGTTACCATAGGCAGTGCAATGTTATGGTTGCCTGCCTGCCTGCGCGCGGGCGAGGCATTGTATAATTGTATTATTTCCTGCATTAGGAAATAATATACAAGGCAATTGCTAGATAGTATACTTCAAAATAAGGTTTCCGTTTTTATATCAATTTTTAATTAAAATAAGTTAGGGTTAGGTTAGGGTTTAGGTTAGGGTTAGGCTTAATTGTTCATTTTACTGTTCGATTTGAGCAATTGAGGTGAGATATAATGTAAGGTACATCATTTTACAATGTCGTACAAGGTATAGAAATCTAAAAGTATATAGTTATAGCAAATTGGAAAGCCATGCTGAATGTCATCTTAATAAATTAACATACATGATTAAAATTAGTGAATCACATCAAATTTCATGGATCTGACAATAAACAGATCAACTATGAATTATATCTTGTCAAGAATTTACTGCACTCAAATATTTCAAGACACTGCATGTTCAGGGCATTTCCCCGAGCCGGCGGCGCAAAGCGCTGTGCGAGGGTAC